ACTCAAAGATATTGATTAATCTTTCACAAAAATTGAAATTAACAAAGAAAATACTATCTGCCACTTGAGCTACAGCATCACTTCTAGGACTCAGAGGAAGGAAGGAAGGAAGGAGGGAAGTGAGAAAGGGAAGGCATGAGGAAGAAGGAAGAAATAAATTATTCAAAAGAAGAATGTTTAATTTTTGGTGAATGTGAGAATTATTCTTTCAGAGGTAGCTCAGGAAAATGGCTTTTACAAAACATAATTCTTTAACTGTTTACAAAATCATAAAGAGGTTGTAACATTTTATAAATAGATTTAATAATTGAGTAATATTAAGGTTGACCTAACATTAGAATTTCTAGAGCCAAGATAGATGCCACTGTATAGTTATGTAATTAAAGATATCCTGGAGGCATTTAGAAAAAAATGTCTCTTACATCAGAAAGTGCTTAATTAGTAAACCAAGACCAAGACTCCAGATCCTATATAAGCCAGTCATTCTACATATGTCCAGAGCTGTTTTGTTACATGAAGAGCTCTATTTTCACACTTTCATGAAGTAATGTTTTTGTGCCAATATGAGGTGTTGAACTCAGGAACTGAGTTGAAGCCATCCAGAGCTGGCTTCAAAGGAGATTCTCTCATCTTGGCCTCCATAAAAGCTAGGAATCAAAGCATGAGCCCTGTGGGCTGTTCTGAAGAAATCTCTCTCTGGGAATAAGAGGTTTCCTTTAGTGCTTCAGCTCAGGCTTCCTGTGGCTTCAACAATTTCAGTACTTATTTCAATTGTTCAAAAATAATAATTCCTCTTTATGGTATTTTCACAATAAAAAAAGAATCCTTAAATCCTGCCTATGTTTCCTTTTACAAGATAAGGAAAATGGAGTTCACATTGCAAGATTTAGCTAGTTGCTCCCTTAACCCCTTCCCTCACACACTTCACCCTTCGGCTTATCTACAGAGGACTAGTTAAAAAAAAACCGGGGGAATAGGAGGCACCTTTGCCCTTAGCCTTCCTACTTGTAACACACACACACACACACACACACACACACACACACACACACACACACACACACACACCATCCATTTGGAAATATCTCTTTCTCCCATGATTACAAACTGAATGCTATCTGAGAAAGGTGGCTCATAGATTAGAGTCCTACCTAAGCCTGTCATATAGCTCAAATTATGAACCAACATACCACTTTCATTCAAAGTAGTCCTCATGATAACACATTTTATTAATGCTTTGATTATTTTTGTTATTATCATTTGGCCAACACTTTGCTTGAACTCAGAATTTAAGGGACTTAATGCTCACTGAATTGTTAAAGTACCCTTTCCTTCTTTTAATTTAAGACTAGCAATTAAAAATGAGCAATTACACTCCATCATGTGTGAAATCTTAGCTACTCAGGAAGCTGAAATTAGACAGTATTTGTAGGCAATCCCATGCAAAAGCTTCATGAATATGGTTTCTTAGCCAATAAAAGCATGGATCTGGTCATATGTGCCTATCTTGTTTGCTACTTGTGATATGTAATTACAAAGTTAGTGTGTCGAAAGGCCCAGCAAAGAAGCAAGGCTCTAAGGTGAAAAATCAGTGATACAAAAGGGCATCTGGCATAGAAGGTAAAGGAAGCCTCACAAATTTTTGCCCTGAATTCAACCTGAGGACCAATAATATGATCTGTGCAAACAATACATTCTTCCAAATCTTTTGTGGAAGTATTTGGATGTGGTTTACAAAATGATAGGTAAACAGTCCTTTACCAAGTGATTGCAAAAGGTCCTTTGCATATGTCTATATGATGTTATGAATTTTTTATCCTATTCTGTGGAAACCATGATTCCTACTTGGATCAAGTAGTTAAGATCTCCTGATCTAACAGGGCCCTGGTGCTTCACATCTGAATTCTAAGTTGCTCAAGAGTATGAGGTTTAAAGATCACAATTGAAAGGCAAACTAGGTAGGAAATGCTGTGAGAGTGTTATGGCCAATTATCACCAAATTTCTCACAAGTAGTGCTGTGAATCAAGTTGATAGACTGTCAACACTTTTGTTCCTTTATTACCAAAGCTCAGGGACAGTACCCAGGCCCTGAGTAGAAAGCACTGCAAGGCCAGGGAAGTTATTTTGTAAAATGGGTTCTTTGGAACCTCGTGCAGAAAAGTTACCATTCCTGTATAAGCCTGAAGTCCTCCATAGGGTATAGTCATTGTCCTCAATTGAAGTTGATATTGAAATGTCTTATAAGCCAGGGTAATGATAGATTGTCACAAATAGTTTGGTATCTTTTGTCATGTGAACCCACATGCACATAGCTTTATGTTTCTGACTAGTTCATAGGTCCTTGCAAAGGTTCAAGTTACTATGTAGGACAATGTGGTTCATGACTGTAAAGTGGGGAAGGAGACCTCCAAAGAGAGCTCTCAACATAAAATATGTGAGTAAAGGCTTCAGGGCCATGGACTCCCACCCTCAGGACTGCAAGTCTTTGTCCTTTCCTGGTTTGAGGAAGTCTGTGTTCTAGCTGTTTGGCCTGGGACTTTAAGTGAAGGGAGGCTTTGGTGGAAATGATAGATTGACATAGAATGAGGAAAGAATGTGCTGTTTGCACTTTGGAAA